TTTCTTTTTTTTTGTAATTTGCGCTCAAAGTTCACATAGTTTATAATTTGGTTAAGCTGGGATGTTAGTATATTAGTTGTTTTTATTATTTATATAATTACAATTTTTTTTAATTTTTGGTGTTGTTAAGGAAAAGAGTTTTTAAAGCATTTGTCAAGTATAAAACCATTTCTTTTATTTCATTTTACTTTATGCTTTATGCCACCTCTGTCAGCTTTTATATATATTCTGAGTAAATTAATTTTGCCGCCTGATTTATATTTTTATTTAATTATTATTTTTTATATATATAATTTATTTAAAATAAGTTTCTAGAAAAGAGATTTAATTTTCTTTGCTTATAAACTTAACATATTTTACTTATTGTTGTATGTATAACATATAGTGCATTTCAGAGTTACATTTCGACATACAGCTGTTTCGAGTATTACCAAATACCCATCAACAGTGGTCTTGCAAATAATTCTTCTATTTAATTATTCCTAAATAATTTCTTGAGACTGCAAGTACCAGGAATCGAATTCGTGTCCTGCCAAATTTGAAGCTCAGAGTCAGTGCTTGACTTTTATGTTCGCACATTTTTCTGGAGTTTTAATACTTTGCTGTGAAAGTTTTATTAACAAATTTACTTGCTCACAAACCAGCTGTAGAATAATTTAATTAATTAATTAATTATATTTTTATTTTTAATTGTTAAATTTGATGACACTTTTGTTTGTAGAGGCATTATTTGTTGCATGATTTAGATATTCTTTCTTGTGTTTAGAACCTAATCTAGAAACGTAATACTGAGAAAGTCATGCTAATGTTACTCCCCGAGTCGTACGGGCGAGACAAATATTTTGTTAATATAAGTTGTAATTTAACGTCAAATTTATTTTTTTATTACGGGTTAATGAAACAATGTTCTATATTTTTGTAATTAAACGACGTTCTTTTAAAACGATTTTAATCATTTAGATATAGTTATTTTTTTTTAATTGCCCATTGTTCAGTAAAAACCATTATTTACTTATTATAGAATTTTTTGGTATAAACATTGAAAAACTCCAACAAGGGAATGTTGGAAATCTCTTCTTAAGATCAATTTTATGGAGTAACATGTTACAAAGTTCTGAGCAAATGATAATCTGACGATATAATGTGAGAACTATATTGTGAATGTATCATAAATTCCCAGTCCAAATCCCTTATTTTATATATTAACAAAAAATAAGTATGACCTAGTGTTGTTTTGATGAAATACAAGACATTTTGTTCTGAGTAATTTCGGTTACTTTCTTTCAATATCTTCCCTCTTTCCTTTATAATAAATGTTGGTTGTGGGAAGTTATATACACTATTATTGTTTTAGCGTTTGTTATTATTGTTTTCTGCCCTTGTTGGGAGCGGTAAATATAAACTTAACATTGATTTGGAATCTTTGTAATCAATGTTGTTGTTGTGGTTGTTGCAAATTGCGAAGATCTATAGAACAGATAGGTATAGGTATAGGTTGGAGTGGCGGCCTTGTGTCCCAAAAAAGCCCACTTAAGCACAAATAAAGGCCCGTTGTGGTACCACAGGAGTAACGTTATTTGTATATAGATTTAATCAGTATACATTTAACGCCGAAAAGAAAGGTAACGACTCCCCCATTATGCAAAGGAAAACCAACCTGACAGTTCTATGAACTTGGCTAGGTCCCTAACATTACAGGATGACAACTCAGTCAGGTCAGTTAGAAAAGGAGATCCAAGGATTTTTAATCTTCTTCTGGCTAGGGAAGGGCACTGACACATGAGATGGAGTACAGTCTCCTCCTCATCCTCAGAGCCACAGCCTCTACAAAAGTCATTAAAGGGGAGACCCAGTCTCATAGCATGCCTTCCTATTACGCAGTGTCCCGTAAGCACAGATACCGTAGTGCTGAGCAGGTTCCGTCTTAGTTGAAGTAGCTGACGGGTTCTTTTCTTGTCAAAGTTCGGCCAAGTCAACCTAGAAATCTGACATTGAGGTTCGTCAGCCCAGTATTGCTTGGCTATACTCAGGTATTTTTGTATGATTGCCAGTTTAACTGTAGCAAGAGGGACGCCTATATCAGAGAGGTTAATGTTAGGGAGAAGCGCACCTGCCTTGGCTAAATCGTCTGCCCTACAATTTCCTGTGATATCCCTGTGACCAGGAACCCAAATAAGTTTGACCCTAACAAACCTAGCTAGGTCATTTAGTGAAGCACGGCAGTCTTGAGTTGTGATTGACGTGGCTGAGGTGCCCATCAGTGATCTGATGGCAGCTTGGCTATCAGAAAAAATTGAGATTGGTAAATCGGATGTTCGATTGCAAAGAACCCATTTTACAGCTTGGTGAATTGCCATTATTTCGGCTTGAAAGACGCTACAGTGGTTCGGAAGTCGGAGCGAGATGCTGAGACCCAGTCTTTCAGAGAAAATGCCACAGCCGACTCGTTTATCTATTTTGGAGCCGTCCGTGTAAATGTCAACCGTTTGGAGAGGGATCGCTCTTTCAAGGATCCAGTCCTCCCTGCTAGGTATAAGAGATTCGAACCCCCTAATTAGGTCTGGGTAACAACACATGTAGTCAATAGAGACGGGAGTTGGCAGATCCTGATTCAGTATGATCGCGTGGCCTATATCAGTTCTTGACCAGCAGGAGAGGGCGTTGAGCCTAGTTGCAACTATTTTGGCTTGCTGTTTTACCAGAAGCCGAGATGGCAACCAATGAAGCATAGCGAAAAGAGCTTGCGTGGGGGTAGAGCGAAGAGCACCAGTGATTTGTAGTGCGGCTATCCTCCTAGTTTTGTCAATTAATTTGGTGTGGCATGCTTTTTCAGTTGCTTGCCACCAGAAAGCAGCCCCATACAGAAGAATTGGTTCGATAACAGCTGAATAGAGCCAGAGTATAATGCACGGTTTGAGCCCCCAACTACGACCTATAGCTCTTCTGCAACAGTAGGTGGCGCATACCGCTTTGCGGGCTCTCTCAGCCAAGTTGTCTTTCCAGCTGAGTTTAGAGTCCAAAATTATACCCAGATATTTGACGTTCGAACTTAAATTTAGAAAAATTTAGAACAGATAATATGAAAGGAATTAGAATATAGAACAGATAAGAAAGAAAGGAACAGAAAGGAATTAGAAATACGTATGCTTAGGTAAGGATATAGTTACGTAAAGGAAGTGTGAGAGGGGTGAAGATTGTTTAGGAACAAGATTGGATTGGGGTTGGATGTAATTTTAATTGAAGTTAAACTGAAGCAATGAGGAAAAACCTACAAACAGTTTAATAGTTTATTTTTTTTTTCGAGGCTGGGGAACAAAAAATGTCTGCACACACCCGCAGAAATGTCTTTCTGTGGGTAGTGTACGGTTCGCGCTAATCGCTGACATGCTAAAAAACTTCCCTTTTCTGGATGAAGTACATGATGAAGTAATAGGTTAATTGATTTTAGTAACAGCAGAGTATCTCAAACTGGTTAAACTGCGTTTATCAAAACACACTCGAACATAAATTTTAATAAGGAAGAAATTCTTAAAGCGCATCTACACAAATATTAAAGAAGATTTTATAACGTCTGTAGTTGTAATGCTTGTCAGGTTTGTTAGTTCGTATGCTTCCATACTAGAATGTGTTAATCTACGCAATCATACTAAATTTGGTCATTTTTCTGTGTACTCAATTATATATTTCTTTTCTTTCCTACTGTTTTTGCACCTCTATTTGAAGAAGATATCTTCAAAGGCCTGTTAAAACCACCATAACCCAAGTTGATTCTTTGCTGAGAACAATCAGTTATGGTTGGATAATTTTATTCTCATATGAGTTAATATAATTTAATGATTGTATAATGTTTAAATCAATGTACACATTTTTGAATTGGTTTATAGTACCGTACGTATCGTTCATCTGTTTTTTAATGTAAACGTTGCTGATTTGATGAAATCAATTCGATTCAAATTCGGTTTGCAGTCCTTTGGGAAACTATTAAAAACAGGGTTTCATCTTTATTTTCTTTAGTGAATGAAAACTTTTCTAGAAACTTATTGTAAATTTTTATGCCAGCAAATTTTTATATACTGCATTTTATTTTGTTTCTACATTTTAATTTGGTCTTTGGTTTTCAGCATGTTGCATCTAGAATAACTGAAAAGCATCATCCTATTTTTTATTCACCACAAAAAAGGTTGGTCACCAATTTAATTAATGAACTCATAAAATGGTTTGGCTTGAATTTTTGTAAATACATTAAACACAGCACAATTATTTTGGCTTCAATTTAAAATTTATTTACACATTTACATTATAATTTTAAAAATTCAAATTAATTTAATATTACTTAATATTAATTTAATATTTATCCATTTTAATAATAGTATTTGAACTTAAACATTTTTCTCACACTAAATTAGTTTTACAACACGTCCTGTGACAAAAATAGATCGAGGACGTATATCACCAGCAGCGGATGCTGCAGCTATTGCTTTAAATGCTGAACTAGGTAATCGCGATGATCAGGATGATGGGTAACTTTAGCATAACTTGTTATTTACATAATAATTTATATATATATTATATTTGTTTCAATAGCTTTATAGCAGATGTAAAGTTACGTCCAAATGCCAATCTAAGCGAAATATTTGAAGCAATGAAGCATCCAGTAACTGGTGTTGGCTTCTTCTCACAAACACCGAGTCTACCATCTTGCACATTTATATCATATGATGCTCTTCTTTGGCTGAAAGCACGTTTAGATAATACTAGAAATCCTTTAGATATATTAGAGGCAATGCGCAAGTATGTTTGAGTTTCAATCGATATTATTTTATATATATAATAATATTTATAAATTTTAAACATATTGTTTTTATAGAGAAAAAATGATTTGTCATGCTTCTGGAGATTGGAATAAACCAATAATACCTGGTTTTTATTTATATTTTGTAGCACAACAAGATACTACAGCTAAAGGTAATGCACAAAAAAATCAATTAAAAGTAGGTAGGTTATACCGGTGATCTCAAGGGATCTACTTAAGCTATATGCCCATTGTGTTACAATATAATTAAAAACTGAAGAATTAGAACCTTTGATAAAGTTTATAATGCTATTCCGGGGGACGTCTTGCAGTTCGTCAAGATCTTCAAAAAAGAAAGTCTTTAAAATAATAAGACGGTGCCACTCATGTACTGGACAGAAAAAAAGCAGATTGAACGCATTTTCATCCTCCGCTTCACAACTGCGGCAGGTATGATTGAAAGCGAGATTTAGTCTTCTAGCATGGTTACCTAAAATACAATCACCTGTAAGTAAACATACTACGAGACTGATATCTCTTAGGTGCATCTTAATGAGATAGTTTGATTTCCTTTTATTGGAGCGTGGCCAAATTGTATGTATAGATGCCTGCATATCGTTGAGTCTTCCCATCTCTTATTTAAAACCAACTGAAATATGAAATACTAATTTTAGATTAGAATATTTTATTTTCATTTATATGTGACTGGCATTATTATGTATATTAATTTTATAAATAGATTACGCTAAACCTTTGAACGACTTGAGTGCATTTGAAAATGAGTGGATGGAAGTTGAAATTCAAGGGTGCAATCACTTATGGATGGATGAACCTGTACCTATTAATGTACCAAATTTCCTAAGAGATGTTCCTACCTCACAAACATGGACTGAATACTGTCTTAATAGTAAGTAAAAATGTATACGTAGTAATACATTAGGTAGGCATATTAAGTATATGTGGTTGTATTATTCGCAAACACAAACAGTATACTGCCTTAATAGAAAGTAAAAATATATATATAGTAATATATTATGTAGAAAGCAAAATGAAAGGAGTTTTGAATCTTCTTCAAATAGCTAACAAAGACGTTTTGATTTCATATTCCACATAATTTTTTGCAGAAAGTTAAGCATATCTGGCCAATAATAATGTTGAAAATATCGCTGAGTAAATCAAAGAATAGGGTGCACATAAACATAATAGCTGGCTGACATGTACTACAAGAACAGGTGTACTAGCTTGGCTTTATGTCTTTCAATAGTTCAATGAAATTGAATTTATCTTAGATAATTCTGATTTACTTATTTGGACTAAGTCAGAGGGTTTACGTTTGGAGTATGGAGGGCATGACCTAACCGCTCTTGAATAAAAGAAAGACTTCATTCTTAGAGTATATTTATAGTTAAAGGGTAAATTTTGAAGATATTTGTATACCAAAAAGTAGTCAAATTTTTATCGTTCATTTTTGAAAGTGATATAATATAATTAAAATATAAAGGATTAACAACATCCAGTATATTATTTTTATCTTTTATATTATCTTTTATAGGTATATTATCTTTTATAAATAACATTTTATATCTTTTATATTATTTTTTTATATTTATATTTCGCACTATATTCATCACTTAACAAATTTCCAGTAAAAATGTTATATGTATATGGCAACTTTGAATTATGATCATCTAATTATGACCACTCATATGGTCAAGAAAACTGATGTTTCCAGCCTACCTATAAACCCAGTTTGCATTGTAGCATATATAATAGGATTGATGTAGTGTTTTACGAGGTTTGATTGTGGCTCCAAAAACAATCTAGTAAAATATTGTTAAAAATAGAATCTTGATTAAATAATTGCTGTCTTAAATTATTTTTTTATCCTTTTATCTTTTATCTATTATTACTTTTATTTTTAGAAAAAATATATCGCCATTCTCATCTAGAAATTGAAGTGAATCAAAAAAGTGATGATCGCGTAGAGTGGGGACATGTAAAATATCATACAGTAAATCAGCCAGGATTTGCATTTGAAATCGTTGTTGAATGGGTAACATCATCAGGACCAAGAGTTTCAGATCTGGTATATTATTTAAATATTTTTACTGATTTTTATTAAATAATATTAACAATAATTTTATTACAATAGATTAATGGTTGGATACGAAAAGCAAATCAATGTGCTTCATATCAACTTATATCCGTGCCAGCCGATCCAATGGCTGAACCATTTACTGAAAAGTCTGATCCATTACGTGGGCCAATTTTTATACCCTTAACTACTAATTTTGACGAAAATAATGGCACACTTTTTGAAGGTATATATTAAAAATTATAGAATTTTTATAAAAATACATTTTTTTTTTTAGAATTTTCGGAAGATAGTAGAGCTGACCGAATGCTACTCTTTCAAGAAGCGATTTTAGCACGTTTTGGTTTTCTACCTTGTGTGCTACAAAAGAAATTTTCGTTTAATAAAGATGTATGTATTCAATTAAAAAACAAAGTTAATATATAATTACAATATATTTTCTTTTTATTTTGTATATTTTAGTTACCGAAAGAATATCAATATGTTCACTGTTCGGGTAACATGTTCGTACTCATACGGTGAGTATATATTTATAAAATTTTAAAAAATATAAATTTAAACTATTATAATATCTAATTATATTGTAGTTGTTCTAAAAATAATTATCAAATCGAATCTCCAAGCCGTCAAGAAGTAAATGTTACCAGATGTGTTTATGGTCATACTAACAATACGAATGTGCCCAAAAAGGTAAAAAAAATTAGTCATTATTTGGTGTAGTATTTTAATTTTTTGTTTTTGTATTAAAGGTTGGTTTTCTCTGGGCATGGAATCATATGATACCAAATAAAAAATGGAAATCTTTAGTTATAAATAACACTCACGAGGGTGAATTATTTCAATTAAGAATGCTTAAAGATTTTCGAGAATTTTGTTCAAATCATGATGAACGCTTATCGAAATTTTGGAAAAATTGTCAAGAGCTAAAAAGGAAATCAATTAAAATTGAATACAACAATAATATTAATAACAATAACGATGTAAAATCCAAAATTTTATAAGACATCATTGTATAAAAAATCTTAAACTTTTTTATACATTTATTTTGACTGTAAGATATATTGTAAAATAGCCGAATAGATTTTTTACTGCTGATAAGTTTAATAAATATGTTATATATTAAAAGGACTGAATTAATAAAACTTAAAAACACAATGTATAGAATTATTATTATTTATTAATTATTTTTATTAAATTTAATCAATATATTAACTCTACCAGAACGAAAGATTCGGTTTTGATTTGATTTCGTATTCTATTGTTGAAGTAAACGAATACTTCTGATTGTACACTAGCAACTCCTAAAATTAGTATTAGTATAGTTTTAAAAATTTTGCACTTTAATTGTGAAACCTTTCATCCTGACATTGTAAATGTTATATTGGCATAAGTCTTGAAAAGTTAAAATTTTTTTTTAAATTTCCAATACAATTAGTTTCTAGTTTCTTTAGAAGCTTGACATGGGAAAATTTTCGCTTTTGCAGCCATGTCTTCGCCCAATGAGCTAGTTTTTTAAATACAGAAATGAATGATAATAAAACCAACATTAAACAACAACCATTTTTACCAACCCTGTCATTATAACATATCAAAAATATTTTGACAAAATAACGATTGTTGCAAAAGAAAGGAATGCAAAATATTGAAAGAATTTAATCTTATATATTTTGTTATACCAAGAGTCTACCCTAATTGGATTTTTGGCTGACCATACAGCTGTTTGAAGCATCACTAAATATTCACTACCAATAGACTTTGGAAAATTCGCTTATTTTAAAAGTCCATTTTTAAAAGTCCACAATTTTTTGGACTGTAAGTATTGGGCATTGAACTGTGAAATTGAAAACCAAACGCTTTAATGCGTTTTTGAATATATATTCTGCTATATATATGAAACAAATCGTTACTATATAAAATACACGTTAGTTTAAAATGTATTTAATTGATATACAAAATTTAATATACTTATATATGCCGTTGATATTATTAAACATTTTCTTTTGTATTCTTTTGCATAAATTTATTTCTATAGTCATAACAAAAAAAATTATATAATTTAATGTTTTTTCATTGGTTTTTAAACTTCTATCAGTCGAAATTTTAATCCAATCTCTAAAAACTATTCGTATACAAATTAAGAAATATTTAATGCTTGGCAACTCTATATATACATTTTGAAAGGTACAAAAACTGTCAACAGAAAATAACAACAACAAAATTATACTTATTTCATTCGTTGAATCAAATGTATTGAATTAAAAAAAAAATCCTGGATTATAAACAAGGCCGTTTTCTTTTTAATAAAACCATGGGTAATTTTTATATACCATGCAAAACTTTCATATACAGCTCCACTTAAAAAACATTTTTTCTCATATACAAATAAACTTTGATTTAAAACAATTCTTATATATAAATAATTATAAAATTTTAAATTTAAAGCCAATGTAGATCCAAACATCAAATTTCAGAAATTCACTTTATAAGGCAGTTTGGATGGCATGCATCAGATACAAATAATAAGCAGATAAAAATCTTGTCGCTTTTCGTTGGTATTTTATATTTTAAATTTGTTGATATATTGGGATGGGTAATATTCACGTAAACCTTTTTAATGAGTTCTTAAGAAAAAAAAAATTAAAGTTACATTAAAAGTAAGACCATATTTAGACTTTTAAAAATTATGATAATGTTATATATAACTTTAATAAATTTCTATACATGAACTAATCAACTTTAATACATTTATATTTCAGTTCTAGTTCATATTTCGTTAATTCAAATTTTCTTTTAATACGCAAAGTTTCAATTCTTTCTTTGGATTCTATTTCCTTCAGTTTAATCATCGCTTCTTGTTCCAATTTTTTGCGTTCTATTTCCAACTTTTTCTTATTCATGCACAATTTAACTTTTTCTACAAATTCATTAAATTCTTTTTTTCTTATATTAAGTTTTATTTTTTCTTTTTCGACATTTGCGTTAATCTCTAATGCAGTTTTGTTAAGATTTGATCTTTCTTTCTGCAACGAAATTGAGTATGAAGCCGGGCTGTTGTTCCAATTCGTCTGATTTTCCAAAGTTTTGAAACTGCTAGTACCAAAAATTTTGTCCAGTTCCTTGAAGAAAGGGCATATGGTGGTAATGTGATCTAAAATAAAAAGAAAAATGATAGATAAACTTTTTGAAAATAAAACAATAATGTTGCATTACTAGAATTGAAATCCTTGGTTTTCAAAATTCCGGTGTTGAGATGCCAATCCACTGTAGTTTTATAATTTACTTTTAAGGCTTGTATTTTATCTCGCATATTTTTCCATGAGAAATTCTGTAAATCGGCATTGTTTATTTTAATTTCGTTATAAAAGATAGCATCATTGGGTTTCTGAAAATCAAATTAAAATTTTTAATAAATGATCTTAAAATAAATAAAACTAACAAACTTGCCTTAAATCTTTTCTCATTTTCCTGAAGTTTTTCGTAAACACAACGCAGTAATAACAAAGTGTTTTCTTCGTTCCAAGCAACATTATTATTTTCTTGATTTTTCATATTTAATAAATCTTGCTTTCCAATTCAAAATAAATTATCTCAGAAATGAAAATGTTAAGAGTTGCACACTTGTGGGCTTCTCGATAAAAATACTTGTTTTGATATGTTGATATGTAGAAAAACGTCATTATCGCGGTGTTATATTTATTTTTTTATTTTCTCGGGTTGAGTGTGGCTCTGTGGAGTTTTTCTAAGTGATAATAATTTATAATGAATAATATTTTTAGAATGTCAATTATTATAAATGTTTACGTTTTTATATATTAGGTGTATTCCGGTACGTGAAAATTAGTACTAATGTGCGATTTAGTACTTGTTTTTACTTATTATGTATTCCTGTACACAAAAACTAAAACAAACTAGTAAAACAAAGCGAAGCGAATGAGATATGAGATAAAAATAAATTACTAGTTTCGACTGGCGATAAATAATAAGGGTGAAAATTAGTAAAAACTAGTGAAATGAGAAGAAGCACTCAACAGAGAATTCGAATTTTTTAATGTTATGTTTTACATCTGTTTCATACAGCGTTTAATATTTTGTATGCTAATATAATAATAAAAAACTTTTATTGTATGAAAATAATTATTTTTTCAAAATGGAAACAGATTACGAAATTACATTATGTTGTTCCCCTAAAACCTATAAACAAATTAATGAGGGTAATTTCTTTAATAAAATTTAATATTTTTATTACGCTGTTTATAATTTCAGATGAGGATTTCCGGGCTCAAGTGACAGAAAATGCAAAAGCGGAGCACCAATGTAGCAACATTGTGTTTGAAGAAATTACTGAAGATAAACAATGTTGGGTAGATGAATCAACAACAATGCTGATAGCAGCTGTTAAGGAATTGCAGCCTCTCGTAGGGACAAGCCTAAGTTTTAAATCAAAGAAGAGGATGTGGAACGAAATATCAGAACGTTTATGTGCAGCTGGCTACCATTTCACTGCGTTGCAAGTGGAAAGTAAGTTTTATGCCATTAAACGACAGTACAAGAAAAAAGGTCGAAATAAGCGAATGTGCGCTTCTCAGAAGTAAGAAAACCAAAATAAAAGTATTGAATTACTATATAAACTATTATAATCTTTATTTTTCTATTTAATAGAGAGCTTGAGGATATATTAGGAGAAGATAAAACCAGCAGCCAAGATTATTTTGATAAAATTCAGAACATACTCTCTTCAACTTGTCAGGAGGAAGAGAATGAATCAGAACATACTA